AAGCTTTTTTATTGAGTTTTGTGAAGAGAATTCCTTTTTGAAGGAACGTTCAAGTGGAGTTAGAGGAACGACACTTTTTCTGCCGAACCTCCACGAAATTAAAGCCATCCCTCACGAACCGGCATCAGTATCGTCTCAGATAACACCAATGATCTCAATAATCACGGCCTATCAAAAGAACTGTTATTTAATTATGTTCCGTCTCACACGTATTCTCATAAACGCTAAGAAATTAATATATTCATCGAATGAGTTTCCTCGAAATAAGAAGTCCATGATGCAATAACGTTCGAAAACGGTCACGGATTCGCTCCTAGGCGCCTTTAGAGATCTCTCACCCTAGGCAAACTAATGATTAAAAAGAGATTTTGAATTTATTAGCGGGCTCTGGCGGCGCTAGGATGAGTTAGCCCGGCAGATGCCTCCTTAATTACAGGCAATGCTGCCTAAATAGTGGCGCTCGTGATAACCTAATTGATCAGCTCTCATAGCCACAAGTCTCCCACTAAAATTAAATCAATCGATGCTATTTCTGATGCGTTAAAAATAGATCCTTCCATGTTGATTTAATGGGGCCCTGTTGAAAATTTATATTGCCTCCGGAACTGATTACTATTATTTGTGCTTTAATTGTTGATTTGGTAGAAGTTATTTCATGGAGCATTTCTCAAGCATTTAGTTTCCCCCCCCCTACTAAATACTGTCTTAGGCTTCAGTTATAAGACCGATAATATTTCATTGATCACTGTCTTTGTAGTTATTAGATGATTTTTAGGGATTTTCTCGCTTTAGATCCTTAGAAAACACTGGGCGATTTATCAAATACCTCCATACATCCGACCTCTCTTAGTTTTGAAATATAAAGGAAATTTACTTAACTTATTGATGGCTACTAACTAATGATTCATTCCAGATAGTTATATACCTATTTTTATAAAATTATTTGCGGAGTAGTTGTGCATCCACTGAGTTTTGTTTGATATTTATGTTACATAGACCTTCGAGGTTTTTCTTTTGTATTTATTATTTTTATTGAATTTAATTAAAACATTTTTGTTATATTATATTTTAGATATGCGTATTTTTTTCTTTGCTTTTGTCCCTGAAACCTTTCTGGATATATGTTCTATTTTTTTTTTCTATCCTGATCATGCCTGAATTGGTCTAACGTTGGCAGATTAACTGTTCACCTGCCTGTTAGAAACTCATTGCTTTATATTTTAGATTTTTCAAGTTATAATTTTTATTTTTTGTAATTTCCATTTTAACAATATCGTAGCAGCAAAATACGACTAATTAGACGAGCTTGATGTTAAACGCCGAATTTCTAATGCTTTAACGAGTACCTAAGAAATGGCTAGAGATGCACGAAATCCTAATGCTCTCTTGATATACACTCTTTGCGGGACACCGCAGAATTTCTATGCCGGTTTTGATGACTAAACCTCGTGGTGGGTCCATCGACGAAATTTCAATCGCATTTTAATTGGTGAGGAGTCATTGTACCCATAATTGGCTCGACAAGCTTGGGTCATTTATAGTTATGGCGCCTTTAGTTAAATATTGTTACAGCTCATCTCATCTCGTTATTTATAGATGTATTACAACCGTTATAATAATTAGACATGTTTTCAAAATAGTTCTTTTATTAAATCCTTAATTTAAAATAATTCTTTTTCAAAACGCGGTTTTCGCAGATTTTCATTTAACAAAGGCAGATGGTCTAGGGTGGCGGTCATTAATAGGCTGAATAATTGCAAAACCATTTTATTATAAGCCAAAGTTTCGACCCGTCTTTGTAGGTCTTCTTAAGGGAACGGACAAGATACAAAAAGATAGAGAATTGTGGAAGTTACATAATATTATGACCAAAAGTTATAGACAATGTAAATAAGCTTATTAAAATTAAGCTGTAAAATTGTCGAAACGTTGGCTTTTAATAAAATAGTTTTGCCACTATTCAGCCTATTTATGATCGCCACCCCGGACCATCCCCTTCCTTTATAATGCAACGGTCAATTATTAAATATTCAATTTCATTTAACAAGTTTGAACTCAGTCGAAACGTAACCCAAACGGCCTGAAACATTAATGAAGTTTGGAAGTGTGAGTGAGCATACGATACAAACATTGTTTATGAAAATTCGAGAGGCTTCAAGACTAAGATAGACGTGGAAGGACTTCATCACGTGGTGACAATCTTTTACAAGCTTGACGCAGAAAATCGCAGAACAACTGTTCGAGAACTTGCAGAGAGATTCTCAGGTATCAAATCGAGATTTGCTAATTTCAATGCAATTTGATATGTAAAAAATCTTAACACTTAGGTTTCATATGCATTAAACAACCTCCAAAAAATTCTTCGCTATGAAGTTTCTGCTGCATTTCTTTGCCAAAACAGATACGAACCTCACCCATCCTACTTTCAATACCTCTCGACTACCGACTACCATTTTTTAGACCGCTGGGGCGCTTTTTAAAAGGTCAAAATATTATTCATCTATCTAAATGAATAATATTTCATTCGTATTCGTATTTTCAGAATTTTTTAATTATAACAATTGATTAACAGAAATAGTGCCGTATCAGTAATTTTATTGTTTTTATTTGAAAATCATAAAATTCAATGTCCGGAAAACCCAGTATTCATAAGTCTCGGCGTAGCTAGACTATTAGCTTCGGTTTGCGGATTACAAATATATTTAAATAAACGTGTGTAAATTATTTTTAAACAATCCTGTAAAATTTTTATTTGAATCCTGATTCTGGTAGGCGCGTAAGATATACAATACCGCATCACAAACTATTCAAAACGACGAATAAACTATGGTATTAAAATTATTCTGTATATCGTCGATACAAATGCTAACTATCGGATATGAAAATAGGGGTATTCATGCACTTGTAAATGCTTAATGTGCTATCATGCTAAGCAGTCAGTACGAATAGTAAATAACTTGTCTGTGCTAAAGTGTTATTAGTTACATTAAGGTTATGTCTCTAATATAAACAAAGTTTGTGAGTTTTTAATTGATCTACTAACGTTTTGATTTATTTTTAAAATGCCAAGCGAAGTGAAAAACTGAGTTGATGGATTATTTGGATAAAAATGCTTTATTAGAAATCATGAATGAAGATTCAGATGGTAAAGAACTTGATGAATAGATTGATGAAATCCTAGCTGTCTTTACATTCGATTTCTGTGGATATTGTACACAGACTAAGGACCAAAAAACAAACACATCAAACCTTACAATAACCTACCCGTGCGTTGGCGTAGTTAGCGACACTTAAGAAGATGAAGAATTTAGTTATGCTGTGTTGGTAGACCATCATTTGTAAAGAAGCTGTATGATCAACTCTACGGGGCTATAACTGTTACGTATAAATAATATGTTTGTTTTATAATATATAATTAACAAAAATCAGGCATTTTGGTTTTATTAAAAATTCTAACAGAGTATATCAGAGTGGGGAAATAGTGGTGTTCTTGCAGTTAGGCATTCTGATCTTCGCTTGTCCTCCTGCTGTGATATACCAATCAGCTATTCTAATTCTCTAGGCAGTGGTAGGCTACACATCTTGGGCTCAGATATGTGCCTAAGGAGAGAATAGCAATCAAGTAGGCTGTTGACACGACTCTACATCCTGTCAGGAAGTTGTAACCTCCCGCTTAACCATCTCTTCAATGGAAGTAGATCTTTTGTTTTTTTTTCTTTAGAGAAATCCTCTTCCTTGAATGTTTAATTTACATGCGGTTTATACTAATATGGTACATAATGGTAAGTCAGTACTGTGAATCAACAGTTTTGTTGAAGTTATTATTTAATTTATTTTTTGATTTTTTTTGCTAAACTTCATAAGATTTAGTGATTTTGTAGTTAATATTGCATGATCACTGAGGCTAAACAAGGAGAGGATACAGTCTGTGGTTCACTGATTTCAACCAATTTTTTTTTTTTTTTTTTTGGTGATAGTACATCGAACAATATTAGATACGTGTGTTCTCTTTCCAATATGCCATAGGAACCGAGAAAAAAAGTATTTTATATAATTTCAAACAAAATTTATTTTTCCTTCGTTTTCCTGATTTTTTAGGTTGCTCTACTATCTTAACAAAACTTAATCTCTTTTTTTTTTTGTGCAGAATAAGATAAAACATTAACTATTGTTTGTATAATTTGTATCATAAATTACAAAAATAAAAAGGTGCTTCTAGTAATGTAGGCCTAGTCATTTTTTGTTATAAAAAAGCAAATTAGATTCCTTTTTAGGACACTGTAAAACTCTTGTATACGAATTGTTGAAAGGACTTTTGACAGAGGATTATAGAAAAATCGTTTCAACCGTTTTTGTGTTACAGTCTTGAGAAAAACAACTCTTATTGCGCAGCCCCAATCGCGGAAAGGGCCATATTTGATTCAAATGCAATGATGGCCGGAACCAAGACAAAAATCAAGAAGCAACATAATTGGCCATTCGTTCGTGAAATAATCGTCACAGACAGATGGATTGCTATAACTGCGTTTTTCGGGCTCATGTTGTTCGAAAACGTCAAGATCCGTTAAAATAATTCATCGGAAATTTTACTCAATTACTGTACTTATTTAGCCGTACTACAAATAAAAATTAACAATACGTAAAAAACAAATCAAAACATCATTCAAATAATTTCAAAACGCAGTAATAATAAAATAAAGTCGACGTACATACATACAGCGTTAGATACTTTTTACTCTATCATATGTAAAGCGAGATAAAAGGAGTTCAGAACTTTTTGTTCCACGTTGTCACACATTCTACAAGTCAGGGGCGACTGAGCAGGCTTCACCAGTAGATTTGACATTGAATATTGAGCTGCGGGAGGTGTGAAGTGCTTCTTCATCGGTTGTTAACTTCCCAATCTTGGAACTGTGATGGCCCACGTGTGACTACTCTTGGGGTCATAGGCTCACGCTATCTCTGCATTGTCTTCCGGCTATTAATTAGAGGTTGGGGCCATGCTCTGTCAATCATTGAGGTTTCGTAATCCAGGTTCATCGCCTCCCGAGGCACCTCACACCTTCGGCGATCCTCGAGGGCCGCCTGGTCTGTCAGCACTGCGGTTAGTTATTGAGTATTTGATAGTGAAATATTAGGAAGCTTGAGCGCCACAATATTCCACTGAAATGATTTGTATTAGGACCTAGGCTTCTCTTCTTGTAATTATATACAAATATAGTTGAATGGAAAATGATGGCTGAGTGAGATAAAGCTAGATGTAGAAAGAGAGGGTGAGAGAGAGGGCGTAGAATGTGATCCGGACGATTAGCTTTTTATATGCAAAACGGTCCCCACCACAACAGACACCAACAAAGAGCCATTGATACCTCAATTGATGCTTGAAAAAAAAAAGGAAAGACAACTGCTCTCTCAGCTCTTAAGAGCCTGTGCAATTGCCCCAGGGCAGTCATTGCTGTTCTTTGTCCCACTTTTTTCTTCTTCTTTTTTTCCATTCCCGATAATACCGTTGTCTTACAATGAAGTTAAGACCTTTAAAGACAAGTGTTGAGTCAAACGGCAATCCTACACGATGATTTCAAGACTTTCATTGTTATTGGTTTTAATTTATCTGGCATATTTAGTTAGAATAGAAGTAATAATGTACCATGAAACATAATGATTATCATTATTGTCCGATTCATAAAATGATTGCATCAACTATATGTTTCTTATTACATTTAAACACGATTACTTTTCATTAGTGAATACAGCAAAAATAAATTTAATTGTAATTCCCAATAAATTTCAGAAGGAGATGTTTCTAATTATGAAGAATGTTCTGATGTAAGCTATTCGAACGATGAAGGGCCATTAAAATATATTTGGAATCTTTTACCATAGAATTATTTTTGCCCAAAATCGGTCTTGGTCTTGCTAAGTGCAACTGCTCCAAGACCGCCTGACTGTTGCAAGACCAAGATTAATATTGGCAAAAAAATTAATAAATAGTTTTTGTAAATAAAAATAAGGCAAAATAGTTACTAATACTTGACAAAGTTACTACAAGTAAACAATTGATATAACCTATATACTTTTGCATATAACTGTTCCAATTTTTCACTCGTTCTTAATTATGTTTTCAGGTTCCCTATCTTAAAAATTGCAGTACTATCTCTATAGTAATATACTAATAGGTAACTGCAAGACTCGTCTTGTCTTGGTCTCGCATTTGGGCAACACTACTTCGAATTGAGTGAGAGAACGCATGATGAACTATAACTATAAATGTATGATTTATTTTTCTTCTTTAGGATTAGAACAGACCACGGAATTATTGCCAAAAGAAATCATAAAAAATACCTCACTGGGATAATCAGTACAAAACAATAAAAAATTTAAGCCTTTTGTTATGTGAAAATGAAAATGTACTAAAAAAAACAAAAACGATAGAACTAAAAAGCTATACGATTCTTTCATATTAATTTTAGCATAGAAGATGCTGAAGATGCTGAAGATGACGCATTATGACTGGACAATTAGCCTTTGGTTTTCAGTTCTTTATACCCCATAGATTCATGGAGATTCGATACTTCCATTAAATCCATGAAGGAAGTCAACCAATTTTGCAGTTCTAATCCTAACCCCTGAAAACGGATTCGATTTGGATATTATATGATAATTCTTCAGGAATTTGGTGTACAATGGATGCTGACTTCTCGTTCAGAATTTAAATACAAAATTCAATTAAATTGAAATTGATATACCGGCTATATTATGGACAAAAAAGGCGTATCTCTGTCATTGTAGATATTGTCCCATCTTGGGTGGTTGCACTCCGTAGTTAATTAAAATAAATTCTCTATTCAATTGCATTTGTATTCACCGTAGCGGCCTAGACGTTGTACTAGATATGAGGATAGACTATGAGGTCGACCCGTCGACCCGCAATTTACTCGTCGCTTTTACAGACCATCAAATACAAACCTTACGATAAACCCGCAAACCACTGATACTCTCCATTCGATTTATAACTGTCTGAGAATCCGTTCCGACAATGCTATTGGGGATCTAAAAACATACTGTGTAGAACAAAGAGCATTTTATAGAAGGGGATATGGGACAATGTATGCACCACGACGACTCATGAAAGGTCTTGATGTCTCGTTGTTTCTGTTAAAAACATTATTGTTTCTTATGCTCAAAGGCCGACGCTTGTACTTAATTTTTAATCAATCTATTGAAGGATGAGACACACACTTTTTTGAATCTGGGTATGTTTCCTAAATGTTTCCCCATGTCCAGAGTCGAGCCATGTCTTAACACCAATATTTCTTTACTTGTACTTACGCATTACACTTGCCGGGTACTAAAGTTGTGTTCTGCTGAGCTCGTATAGTTTCGTAATTTCTATGTTGCACAGGCGGATCTGCAGGGGGGAGTGAGGACTTTCGAGCTGAAGCGTCCTCTCCCCCCCCCCCCCTCCCATGGTAAAATACAACCATGTTTTACAGAAAAAATATTAAAAACTATTTATTAAAGTATTCTTGTTCGTGTAATTATATTTAATAGAACTTCAAGAACCACTTAAACACCATATCATATATTTAATAGTTGATTTCTTTCTTTTATTAAAATTATTATCGTTATATTTATATAAAAAAAAATATTTCGGGCTGAAGCTCCCACCAAAATTAAATCCTGGATCCGCTAGTGCTATGGTGGATTACTTAATACGGTCGGTTTGGAGATAAAAGGGATCAATTGAAATTTTTGTATAGATGAGGTTACGTGCTTTCGACATATTCCTGGACAAAGTTTTTATAATAATTATTAGTTAATTATTGATAAATTCACGATTTTCTATTTACTGAACGGGAAGATTTAGTTCAGGCACTTTTGAAAAGCAAAAAAGCTCATTTCTTAATCGTAAGAATTTCATTAGATCAATTTTGCTGCAAACCCGACCATATCTTTTGTATAGTACACATGTGAATAAATTGTAAACTTGAACATTATGTGCTGGCTGATGAGAGGACATATGCACTTAGCTAATTTTACTTTCGCTTACCTATATATTTTAAATACTCCTTGCTATACTAATTCTGTTATTAATATTTCATAGTTGTTAATGTAGGATTCATAAAAAAATACTCCCATTAATAATTTATAACTAAAATACCGGAGGTATGGTAATCTGCAATATTTATTTAGATACTGATTAATCCAAACCAAATCAAATAAAAATTCTTTTGATTTTATACAGATATATTCAAATTATATTTATTTTAATTTTTTAAAAAGTTTTTGCCAATTAATAAAAAATATAAAATTTTAAACCTAATAATTTTTACAAGTGAGTCTTTAAGCATTTTTAAGATTTTTTTTTTAATAGGAACATTTCTTAGAAATATCATTTATTCAGATTTTCACTTGAATTGAGGAAGGAATATTCAAAATCGCCCTTTATTCTATCTCACTGGAACATAGTAAAAAACACTACAATTCATTGACCCGGGATTTCCCAAGTCGCATGTACGAATTTCCAAGTTTTTATAAAAACGTTCTTTAGGAAAGTGGAAGCCTAACAGCCTTTCATCCTTACAGTGTTCTTCACCTTCCAGCGATCACTTAATACAACCTATTCATACTGACCAGCCTTTTTACTTTGTCGGCGGCTGCATAAAGAAATAATTGGCCATTATTAATGGGATCCTCGCGAACCTATCCCTTTGTCCGCCATTATAAGGAAAAATAAACTTAAACCCTTTATTACACTAATGACCAAACCTTTGATGCAGTATGGGAGCGATGGGCCTGGCCATAGGGTGGGTTGAAGATTGAAGCCATCCTCATCAATAGGATCATCTGGCGGAGCTAATGCACAGGATAATAGGACCTCGCTCCGGCTTCGGATGGTCCGGTCAGAGTGGCTGGTACTTTCGTTACTTTTGTATTATTTATTATTAATAAATAAATAAATACTGAAGGCGTGGCTGTGAAATCTACAAAGCTCGCCTACACACCTCTCTTTATTGAATAAAAAAAAAAACTCAAATCTTCAGGACAGTATATCTAGAAAAATACTCTCATCCTCGCTTTGGTCGAATCCATTGATGTTATTAGTTTTTCATCCATCCTAACAACAGCTACAACTTATAAAACTCATCTAAGAGTAAAGCTTCCTCACTATTTCCATTGCTTACATTATTACATATTTTTCATGGTCTATAATTTGTCGTTTTGAATGATTAGCTTATCAATTAAATCAGACAGACCCGAACCAATTTTTTTTCCTTGATCTCTAAAACATAAAAGGCGAGTGAAAATTTTCAATTTTGATTATAAAGCTTTTTTAATCTCCTACATGAATACAAAGCTTTATCTTTGTAGTGATTTATCTTCATTAATGATGAAGTATAATTACGGAGTCCAAATTGATAATGTTTTTTTATTTTTGTTTATTTATTGAGTATTACAACAATCTGTCTCTTGGACATTGGTTATAGTGAGGTAGGATAACATTCACACTATATGTACAAAAAATATATAATAAATAGAAGCAAAATAATAATCAAAAGTATATACAATAAATAATAAAATAAAATAACCTAAAACTAAGCAAAAAAACACATGCATACCTATATACAATCAGGCGAGGGAACTCCAGGAGAACCCTGCGCTACTCTCTCAACCGAGTCACTGGTACTAAAGCCAGCGGAGGAAAAAAAAGTGATAATTAAATAAATTTAAAGAATAATTAATAATCCATTGAATGATTAAATTTATAACTTTTCACTTTTAAAAAATATTTTTTGTTACTTATTTATTTTTTAGGTATAGGGAGGGTAATATGGTATGAATGTTTCAGATATAGCTCAAATACATATTTCTCTTAAGTATGGTAGAATTTATTATTTCTCTATTATAACATTAAAAAAATATCTATCATTACTATCGAAGACTGGTCAGTCATGTATTATCACAATTGATGTAGAGATGGTTGACCGTGATATAATATGAGAAGGAGTTGGTCGGGGGGTGCGGTAAAATAAATACTAAATTTTCGAATTAGTATTTATTTGACTTTACGTCCTTCCCAACCAATTCCTTATAATATCACAATTCTTTATATTGGGCTCTTGTCCTGTATTCGTTGTTGGGCCGAAACAACTGCTTTCAACGTTTACAATATTTTGTTTTTCTTGTCTTATCAACTAATTTATTACCTTTGCATTGGCTTAAGATATCATTACATCTTTTTTTAATGTATGTATTTTTTCTAATGCGCAGGCGCACAGGCACGAGCGGAGCAGAGAGCGACGCCAGAACGAGCTGCCATACATCCTGACCAACGGAGGAGGCGAAGGCTCTGGACCTTGGACGCAGTGGTCTGATCCAGCACCCTGCTCGAGGACTTGTGGTGGAGGTGTCACCTACCAGGAGAGGCAGTGCAGGTAGCCCAACCTTCTAACGTTGTATTTCAAATTGTTTGTTCCTTGTTTTAAGAGTTTTTAGTTCATACAACAGCTTGGTAATCGATTCCCGATAATTTTTATATTTTGCACTGGGATACTTGGAGAAAATAATAACTGCAGAAATTTGAGCTGCAACAGAATATAACTAAATCGAGACTGTACTTTTTAAATAATAAAAAATGTTCATATTTAGCCAAAATCGAATGACTTGAAATGACAGTGCGCTCGGAGGTGTGGTGAGGACTCGGTGAGTGAGTGACCTATGTCGCTGTAATGTGACGTATACGCCTCCCGAAAACGACTATCAAATCATCCCCCTACTCCGATTTATCAACATGTATTTATAAAAGCTAATACAATACGGTTTAAATTAAATATTTTAATAATCGTCCACTTTTCTTTAACGCTAGTTGTCTTTGCAAGTATACATTTGAACTTACAAGTTCAAAAATATTGTACAATATTTATTTTATCTTTATCTGAAATTTAAAATATAACGTAATTTCAGGGATATTTATCCGAAATTAATAAAATAAATGAAAGTTTCTAAACTCATCGCTAAAACCAGTAGAGTGAACCGATCCATTCTATTCTACCTATTAAATCCAGTACCGATGGGTAACAATTTATGCTGAGTTTAGGAATGATCTCCTGGATTCCAGCGAAAGGTTATCACTCCAGAAAGGTTACAAAACGCATGAAAAATAAAAAAATGTATTTACCTACTGAATTTGTTAAATTTCCAAACAAAAATAAATGAAGACAGCACTTAAATTGTATATTAATATATCAAGTAAATTGAGAAATACAGAAATAATATCTAGCGGATTCACAGATCCCATAAACTAATGGTTGAGCTTTCGGTGATTCAATCTATGAACAAAGAGTGGCACCGAATTCCATTTATTGGATCAATAAACAATAGCCAGATGGATTTCCGATGTCCATCAATGAACTCAGCGATGAGCTTAGGATCTTCCACTAGCTTATTAGCGGCAAATACAAACAAGATAAGCTGACCCTTCCGAACGCTGAACTAGAGCAGATGGACTAGACAAAGGGCTATATTTAGACCTAGACGATCGAGATCTGAGGAGGCGGCCCATTCACTTGTTCCCATCGCGCCTCAATCATAGACCGAAATCACCTAACTATATTATATGCAGCGGGCTAACATCTCTATCGGGCATTTTGGCAGTTAGGATTCTCCTCCAGGCCTAGTAGATATTAATAGCTCAAGATGAAAAGATTACGAAGTTTTTTGATGGATATTATTTCGACATTTTCATAGAACCTTCAATTTTCTAAACTCTAATAACGGTTTTTTTGTTGTTGTTTTTTCCTTTCCGTCTAAAAACTAAACCTCTTTTGTATTTATAGCCCTCTAATTGCTAGGACGGAGGGCGTGAGAAGATCAGGCTGAGGCACGAGACCTGTCATTCCGAATTTCTCGGTTAACGATATAGTCAGCTGTACCCAATCAATTTTACATCTCCGGAAACACGTCGTCACACACGGGGAAGCGTTAGAATTTTGTAATATATCTTCGGACGAGTTTTCAACAGAGCTTTAATGGGCCCTTCATCACGTGTTTGGTTGGATTCGTAGCATTCAAACGAGTCTCACCATTAGGAATTCTGCCTTAATAACGTGCCTTTCCTTGTTTTGTGTATGAGTTAGTTGATATATGGATATAACAATTCACGAAAAAGTAGTTTTTTGTTTACTATAAGTGCCAATAAGGAGATGTGCTCACAAACAATGACAAGCATAATGTCATTTAGGCATGGGAATAGCCAGTATCCAAAGTAACAAGTACCACCCACCTCTCCTAAGTCTTGATGAAGTCCCTTGATTCACGAAAGGAGGTATCTCATCATTGTCCTTCTAATGAGCATGTCAGGCGCAGTTATTCGCAGAGTGTGTTGTTATGTCCCTAAATTTTACTTTCAAAATGATATTAGTGTTATATGATATAGTGTTAGTCGGTTGTTATTTGTTGTAAGTTGCTATGTAGAGATTTGTTATTTACTTATCAGAGAGTTATTAGTCTTAAAATTTTTGTTTGGAAATGTTACAGTTATTGTAAGCAAACTTTTTTTCTAAACCGCAAATTGTTGAGGCTTATTGATTTAAGTAAAGATATTAATCCGTGGTATAGACTCCTTTTTATCAAATTATTAACATCCGCCTGAACTTCGTAAATAGCTTCAGCTCATCGTAACCGACAAACATTTTATTTATGAAAATTCTCGGAATTGGGGCGTTTTCAATCTGGAAGTCGGCAAACATCTATTTAACGTCTATTTAATTAGGTACTAAAAACCCGTAAATACCCATTTGCTTTCCGCTTTCCACTCGTATGATAGTTTGTTCACAAAATAGATAAAAAAGGTGGCCTATAAAAATATTGGGTCATTTTGCCCTATATAACCTCGATATTTTGATAATTTGAGGGTGTAGGTCACGCCAAACGGCTCAATATTTTTTAAGGCCACTTTTTTTCACGACTTATTCCTTGAGTGGAAAAAAAATGGTATTTACGAGTTTTTAGTACCTAATTAAATATACAAAGTTTGCCGACCTTACCATGAGATGAAGCTGTTTATGAAGTTTAGGCGGATGTTAATAATTTGATATAAAGGGGTTTGTACCACGGACTATATGTGTATGTATTTTGTTTCTTCAGTTTCAATGATTGTGAAAAATGAGTGCAAGAATTTTAGGCCTTAGTTTAATGTCTTTCTTTTCATTTTTACGTGTTGGTCTCCGTTTAAGGAATTCTGTTGTCACTAATAAGGAACTGGTGGATTGGTGTCTCTGGAATATTAGTTAATTAATTATCACAATAATCTACTTAAAGAAAAGGTTTCTAAACAGTGCGGCATAGTGTTAGTAACGATTGAAGGCACTGAAAACAGCTGCACAGGAAACATAATTTACTATAGCTACCCTATAATAAGTCGCTACTAGCGTGATGACTTATTATAGGTCCTATAATATAAGCGACTTGCTACTACGAAATCTGTCCACTAAGTGTGCGGTATAGTGTTTATAACAATTGAAGGAGCTTAGAAAAGCATTTTATAATAACTTGGGAATGGTCATTGCCATTGTGACTTCATATCAATGGAATCGAGTTAACATAAGTTTCATTTGGCGTGGGGGTTAAAGTTTTTAATAAATTTGTATTTTTTTTTTAATACCCAAGACAGAAGAGGATTTGAACCCCGATCTCGCTAGTTCACGAAATTCTTTCATTCAGTAAATATAAGAAGGAAAAAAAATTGAAAACGCTATATTTATTTGATTCCTTTGGCAACTAATCGTACTTTGCATTATTTGTTTTTAATCGAAACAGTTTTACTATAGTTCCTACCTTTCTTCGCGACTATGAAGTAATTTCTCTTGTTTTTCAATAGTTTCTGATTACGAATTGTTCTTATAGAATATGACATAACTACAATGACTTAAGTAGTGTTGCACAAATGCGAGACCGAGGCTAGTGTTGATCTTGCAAACTCAGTCTTGGTCTAGCACAAGATTCTCACAACAGTCTTGCAGTAACTTATTAGCTTATTAATATGGAGATATTACTGTGATATTTTAGATAGGAGAAACCTAAGCCTGAATGAAAAATCAGAGGAGTTAAATGCAAAAGTATATTGGTTATATCAATTATTAACATTTAATAACTAAAATTGTCGAGTATTAGTAACTATTTTGGCTTAATTTTTATGCAAACAATATTTTTTTTTACCGGTCTTGGTCTTACAACAGTTAGACGGCCTTGGTATCGGTCTTATAACGCAAGACCAAGACCGATTTTGGGCAACGCTAAACCTAAGGAACTTTAAAATGCATAAATTACGTATTAATTAAATAATATTGGTGGTACATATAATTTTTCACTTACTGTGATGTATTTAATTACTTGATGATAAATATGTATTATTACTACAATACACTAATGGATTTTCCCTTAAAAACAGTTCTGATATATAGACATATATATGGTTCACCTTATTACATAAGTTCATGAAATATAATAATCCTGATTTATAACAGACGGTGACGGTATTACTTGTCAGTTAAATGAATAATAAAAAAGAAAAACAGATGTGACATACATGCGTCGGATAGTCATACTCATTAATTAGACTGTAAGGTTTCTATTTATATGTAATGAGTGCGATATGTTCTACAATAACCGTTGACTCATACAATTAACTGGCGAGTTTTTTTTTCATTAATGCTCCCAGACTAGCATGTTTTCTTAACAATTACATGAATTATAGTGCTTTTAAAAATGCTATTAAAATGGATTAACTTTTTTAATAGAAAATATTTTTTTTTAAATTTGTATATCATATTATTCTGACATGTTACTACTAATATTATTCTAATATTAACATGCACTATATACTTCTCATGTTAGCCAACAAAACTGAATTAAACAAATATAAAAACAATCCGTATTATTGTGTGACCTGAAGATCAATAAGAATGAGTTATGAAATGATGTAATATTTCTATACTTCCTCAACTACTTGTGAAATCTTTGTATAACCCATTTTAATTAATAAATATTTCCATTTCACCCTTTCATTGTTAAACGTTTTGTAGGCTAATCTTGAATAATTTAGTGGATTTAGAAAAATGCTATATTTTCCATACGGTAAATTTAAAGTTCTCCCTTTAGTTATTTGAAGCTGTGAAGGGTCAAAGAGATCAAAAAACTATGTTTGGTTACTAGTCTCTCGTCATTCGATACCACTTGACAGCCATTCTGAAGATCTACAAAGCAGGTCGGGATGTAGGGACAAGTTTAAGTTCCACTTATTAGTGTGTTTGGACTTACTTTACCTCACCCGCCACGATCTTCTTCAATGATATCTATGGTTAACAACATTGTCATCTATATTTTATACATTTCTTTGATTGCAGGAGGTACTGAGAATTCGGAATGGATAGGGCTCGTTA